GTGGCTGGCGCCTTAGCCGGCTGAGCTATAGGCGCCGAGCCTAAAGTAGCATTTCTTTATGATTTTATTTATGAACACACACTTATCTATATATTTCTTTTGGCAATTTCTATATAATGAGATTGTAAATGACATTTTTGTTATTTTGTTAGGTCCAAAGTATTTATGTCCTAACAAATTAGTAACCCTTTGAAAAAAGTAATATATATAATTTGAAAAAAACACTTTAATTTTATATTTCTTCCTGGATTCTTTGATTATTGGTATAGTATCTATTTTTTATAATCAGGAAAAATCTAGAACATTTTCAGTTAAAGTTGAAAAAAATCCTACAAACAAAATATGAAGTTCCTGTTCTTCCTCTGTGGAAATCCCATCACACGTATATTCTTGGCAGGTCTCTTAGTTTACTTTTTAATCTGGGATAAATTAAGGCATTTAAAGCTTTGATCTCAATGTATTTTTTACTCCGTATTTTAAAAGGCATCAATGATAGGATTAGGGCTATTTGAGTCTTTAGTGGAAGTTCCCAAATTCATTTGTTCATGGAGTTCTACTTGTCTCAGTAATTCTTTGTATAGTGCCTCTAAATCAACACTTTGATTTAGAAAGCAGATTAGGTCCAAACAGCTTAATAAGCATTTATTTCCTGACAATTGACTAACAACGTCCAAGTGATTAGGCCAACTGTGTTTGCTAATTGGCACATAGGGGAGCTGGGTGCCTGCCCTCCCAGGAAGACTGGGAGGCAGGGGGGCCCTATCATCCTAAGGATTACATTCCACAGGAATGGCTCCCTGTCCTTCAGAAAGACACTCCTGGGTTGTAAAACTCCCAAGAGGCTGGTGTCTCAAAGGGGCAAAGAAAGAATTGACCACTGAAAGTTTCCTGAAGTTTACACTGTCAGAAAGGGAAATCAGGGGCTTTCGTCAGCATGAAACCTGTCTACACCTTAGGCAAGGTGAGGGGAATGTTAAAGCCTCGTTAGTCTCTGTAGTCAGAAGAATTACATAGTATTGTTTTCAACTGGAAAAATCCTGTAAGCAAACCCTGAGTTCCCATCCTTAGTTTTAATAAAGGGGATGGCAGAAATCCCATCAGGAATATATTCTTCCCAGGTTTGCTCGTTTGTTTATTTTTTGATCTGGGATGAATCAGGGTATTTAAAGCCTTGGTCTCAAAGTATCTTTCATTCTAAATTCCAAAGTCATTAATAATCTGATTAGCACTATTTGAATCACTACCCGAAGTTCCTAAATGTTTTCATTCATGGTACCCTATGGTAATTTTTTACTGTGCCCCTAAGCCAAAAGATATCCCTAACATTTAAAAAGCAGTTTAGGTTCAAAGTATTTATGTCCTAACAAATTAGTAACCATTTGAAAAAGTAATATATATAATTTGAAAAAAACACTTTAATTTTATTTTTAATCACAATTACTCAGTAGTTAGACATGTGTACCTGTTGGACGCTGCATAATATTTTCAAAGTTTGGAGTAAGATCAGACTTCAGTAGGGTCATTTTCTATCCAGTGTTAAAAAAATCAATTACTAAAAATCCAGCTTCTCAAAGATGGGATATGATTAAAGGGAATGTATTATCATCTAATGCTGAAACTAAATTACTTTGAGCCAGTAAGTCACGCATCTGTCTGACACATGCCAGATAGTTCTCTTGAAAATTTTAAGATATGCTGGGAGCCCCCGTGGGTGTGATTCAGCTCCCAGAGCGCCTCCAGCATATCATTTAAAATTCTTAAGTCTATTCCACCTTCCTGGACATACACACTGTGTGAATAAACACATTCTCCCTTCCTGCTTCTTTCTTTCCTTTTCTTTTTTCCTTCTTTAAATGTTTAGTCAATGTAGTAATTCAGTGTGATGAAATAAACGTTCTATCACGTAGGCTGTTGATATCCCTGGCACCATACTGAATTCACGTTATGTCGCTTAGGGGGAGTAGAGGGCTCTGTATAGTGAGGCATGATGATGATTACACAGTGACTGCCTGACATCTCATGAATGTAATGATCCGAGGTCTGGTTCAGGGGACTGACCCATTCATCATGTTGGATTTGCTCTTTATGTTATGGCTGGTATCTTTCTTTCACATGAGCATGTATAAATAATCAGTAATTTGTGGTATCAAAAGATGAAAACGGCGATTGTATCTGTACCTTCTTTCAGGTGTTTGCCCAACTACTGTGAACACGGTGGTGAATGCTCTCAGTCCTGGAGCTCCTTTCACTGTAACTGTTCCAACACCGGTTACAGGGGAGCCACCTGCCACAACTGTAAGCCAGTCACACCTGCTCGTGCTTGTTGCGTGTTGAGTTCTTCATTCCATTTTCCATTTTCATTTTCGCTGCTCTGTGTGTATATATGTCTGTGTGCAAACTTAGCATCCAGTAGTTAATTCACACTTCATTTCATAAAGTCAAGGTAGCATTTAGAAATACATAATACAAAATAAGAGAGCAAAGAGTAGGACAGCCGACGATGGACGCATAGAAAATGAAGGGTGGCTAAGTCTAACAAATGAAGTGAAATGCAGAATGCATAACAGTCTTGTTCTGTTCCTTGAATTGGGCCAGCATTTCAATTCTAAACTTTCTAGAAGACACAGTATAAGTGGAAACATGATCTGTTTACCAAATTCTTGACTGTTCAGACAATTAAAGAGGTTCTCAGAAACAGCCCTGGGTGGACTGGGTAGGGTGGCTTGTGATAGGGATATCCAGATGTCAACTAGAGACTGGCTATCCAGTAATGGTTTAACCCCATTAAATGATGATGATAAAGATAAGGGTGGTAGAACCAATTACATTAATCAAAATAGGTAACTTTCTTGAGTACTCTGTAAATGCCAGGCACTGGTCCAGGATTTTATAGGTCCTAACTCATTTAATTATGGTAATCACCTTAGTAGGTGGATACTATTATCATCTCTAATTTATGTAAGAAGTAATAGATAATTATCAAGATGTCTAAGGCTACTTAAAATAGTTGGGGCAGAGTGAGGAGGTAAGTCATGAAGTCATATTCCAGAGTCTAGGGTCACAACCAGTCCCCTTTTCCTGTATTGTAAGTTGTGTAATCTTTTCCCTGATAAAATGTTTACATGTATGATAATGCCCATGCCATTTTGTTGTCCCATTGTTCTTTTGTTGTTGTTGTTTTGTTTTCCTTTTTTTATGTCCTTCATCTGGTGAGGAATCTCCACTTGCTTTGTGTGTGTAATAGGGAGACCAAAAGGCTTCTTTTTGGCCTTTCCCATTTTTTTCCCCATTGTTACTGATGTTTCTGACCAGCTGAGCACCTACTTCCAACTCCCATTGCCCTGATTTAAGGCGTGGTCTTAGGTGCAAAGTCACCCCTCACAACCCTGGTCTATTGCATGTTCACTGCTTTGTATTCCTGCCAGAGTTGGCACTGGCTCCCTGGGCTCCCAGCCATGGGGCTGCACAGAGGCCCCCCAGAATTCCTCAGTCAGGGATGGAGAGGGCACGATCGGGAAAACCAGCACCATTTCTGGATATCAGTCATACATGGTGAACAGCCTCACAAGATTCTACAAAGAATACTTGCTGGTGACAAGGCCACACCTCATCTGTAACCAGAGGCTGCCTCACTTGTCCCCAATCACCTAGCTAGTAGAGTGGCATCATATTTTAATATTTATACCTTCCATCTTACATTTTAGCTAACTCAAAATAGAAAGCTATTAAATATGTTTAATAGACTAATTATTCATCTTTAATTGTTATCAATGAATGAATCTAAATATAAAGCAAACAACTCTGATGAAAAACATTAGAAATAAATTAAGTTACTTTCATCTGTGGCCCACAATTTGATCCAATAATTGAGTTAATTTATTAGTTTCTGGAGCAGGCCGTCCAAATGAGCTGAAGGTTTTTGTCCTTAACTGTTCTGAGAAATGGAGCCAAAATAACAGGCCTGGTTTTAGTGGAGGGGCTGAGAGGGCTGTTTTTTTCTTTTAAGGAAATAATGCATTTAAAGTCACATTATGAAAATTTAAGCAGCATAAAGCAGAGGTCCTTCCATTATCCTCAACTGATTGGGTGGCTTTTTCACTACTAGTACCCAGCTCAAAGTTACATGTGTGTTCTGCTAACTTCTAAGGCGATTATGGACACATTTATAAGAATAGAGAAATTTACATGGGCCACTATGACGTTTCTGAGACAGCCTGTGTCACGGTCCCCGGGGTTCCTTCTGATTCTCCCGGGAGGATTTCAACCTGCTCAGCCTGTGGGTGATGCTAGGAAGTCTTCTTTTGTTTCCATCCACACGGACTTTACCTATCCTGATTTTTGTGTATCTCAAAACTTCATAATGGCCTCAAGTAACCACTGTTACGTGTCTTCCTCAGTGCACAACCTGAAAGTGTGACTGGGAGACATCCCATGCTTACGTTTGTATCAGTGCGGTATAGAACAGACACAAAATAAAACCATCGGTCTGTGAAAGAGTGGGGCAGTAAATTTATATGATATGTGAAATGTTTTAACATTGAACAAATCAACCACATTATTTCATGTTGTCACGTAATTTTAAAAACTAAAATAGATTTAGAGAAGAATATTCAGGAGATTGTTTATTTCTCATTTCACGGTGTAAAAGGCTTAATGAAAGTTATCAGTATTTTTAGCCAAGTGTTCAGTGAAAGGTATGCATTATTATATATAGGTGTTAATATCAAATCTTGTACATGGCAAATGTATAATTGTATAATTAAAATATCCAATTATGGATCAAAACAAATTGAGAGCACTTGAGGGCATATTTCATATAAGATTTCCTTCTGCTTTAGAATTTTAATTATCTTGAATTCTCATTACAGAGATTTAGAGAAAGTTTTTCTTTTGCGAATTACTTTAAAAATTATTGATGAGAAGCTTTGTGAGTCATACTTGTTTTATGAAAAAACATTTTATCTATAATTTTCTATGAAAAAGAAGTATAGTTACCACATTATTTCAAATGTGTTTATTGCATAATTATGGGATAACAGCAGATTATTTAAGGAGATTACCCTGTTGTGCTTCAGATGTTAGGTTACTACAAGGTGATAGCAGAATTAGAAATTCCAAAATAGATGTCACAGGATAAGTTACCACATTATAATTATAAGGATCTTAATATTTAAACACCTATCTTCTCTTTCCTTGTTCTTCCTAATGTAAAAATAAGCTAAATTTCATTTTGACCAAGCACTTTTATTTTCCTTTAGTAATAAAAAGGTCATAAAATTTAGCCCTAGTCTTTATTCTTTTCTACATAATCAGTTTCATCTTATTATTTTTTAAATAATAATAAATCAATTTCGTCTTATTATTTTTTAAAAAAATAAATGAGTTTTGTTTTAAAGTGAGTTTTGCTCTTTCTCCTGGTCAGTAATGTACATACTAAATTTCAAGACTTAGAGTATCTTGTGTCCAAATTAAAAGTTAAGCGATCTAGGTCTTATGGTGTATTAACGATGGCCCTTTCCCTTTGTTGACAGCTATCTATGAGCAGTCATGTGAGGCCTACAAGCACAGAGGAAATGCTTCAGGGTTTTACTATATAGATGCAGATGGAAGTGGTCCCCTGGGGCCGTTTCTTCTATACTGCAACATGACTGGTGAGTTAATCAGCTTTTATTTAGTAGTTACATTTGCTTGAATGCTTTAAATACACAAAATTAAAATGAAATAAGGAGAAAATTGGCCTAATTTGCAACTTGGTTAAAATACATGGAATTGTGTTGAGTCAGAGAAGTAAACATAAATCTTCAAAAGGTAGTAAATGTTAAATATTTAAATGTTACTCTTTATTCACATAGTGTCTGTAAAACATCTAATAATAAAAGTTGCCTACTGTGTCCCAAAACAAAAAGGATAGACTTATTTTTCAGAGAAGACTGTGCATGTAAAAGCTTCAAACAATATTTCCTTTTGCAGTGTCTGTGGGTATAAAGTCTATTTATTCCTGCATTCTCTACTAACACAGATTTACATAGAAAGCAGTATTCATGAACGTATATTTGATTAAATTCAACATTCATTCATCATCACAGAGAAAACTCAATAGATTACTATTAATAGTAGAAGAATCTTTCCTTACTTTGATAGAGTAGCCTCTAGCACGTCTAATAGCTTAGAGTGGAACAGCAAAAGCTCTCCCCTCCTATCAGCGTGAATATCACTCTGTCCATAGTGGAGGTCCTAGCCAGCCCGGCCAAGCAGGAGACGGAAACAAAGAACTAAACACTGAGAGAAGAAATCTAAGATTGCTGTGACTTGTAGATGACCAGTGTTATATTAATATATTAAGAACATTTTAAAATATCTACAGATAAATAACAGCTAAAGTTTAGGCTTATCACTGCATATCAAATGAGCAGAAAATTAACTTTATTCGTAGTGTGTAGAACGTGACTTTTTAAAAGATGATATTTTCAATAGCATCAAAAATCTCTAACACATGGTAATAAATCTAATGAAAGTTAAGCAAGGCTTCTGCATGGGTAAGTATAAAATGCTCTTTAGAGAAACTAAAGTCCCAAGTAAATGGAGGAATGTAGAATGCTCATTGATTAGAAGATTTAGTATTGCATATTTTTAATTCTGGCAAACTAGATATTGATTCAGTGCAAACCTAAATCAAGATTTCAGCAGGGTGTTTGTTTGTAAGTTGATATGATTTTTTTTTTATTAAAACGAGCCAGTAGATTCTAAAATTTATGAGCAAATATGAAGGGACAATAAGAATCAAATCAATCTGAAGAACAAGTTGGAGGACTCAGCTCTACCAAATATAGACATTATACTGACAGATGAAGCAAAATAGGATATAAAGCTAAACTAATAGACCAATAAGATGAAACAGAGACTTTGTAAACAGACTCAGTCGTATATGGATAACTGATTCATTGCCACAGTGGTACTGATGTGTAGTGAAGGAAAGATGGTCTTTGTAATTGGTAGTGCTGGTGGAAATTATACATAAATGTCAGAAAAAAGAAATATTGATCCATTCCTCATCAAATACACAGAAAAAATAGACCGTAGATGAACTATGATGTCCAATATGGTAGCCACTAGCAATGCATACCTATTTAAATTCAAATTTAATTAAAATTAATTATAAAATTAAACAACTTTTAAAGTACATTTTACAAATTCAAACAAATTTAAATAGTTTAATTAAAATAAGATTAAACTGAATGTTGATTTTTTTTTTCTTAGTCTCCCCAGGTATTCTGTAGCTAGTAGGGAAATAGTTTCACAGGTGTAGAAACTTCCCATCACCACAGAAAATTACATGGAAAAGTGCTGTGGTAGGAAGTCATAGCTTTATGCAGAGAGACAAGAGGAAAAGGGTGGTATTAAACTGAGGCGGGGGTGTTGCAGAGGAAGATTTACTGCTTAAAATTGAACAGTGAATATCTAGGGACATAATCTTTCAGGCAGAGGAAAGAGTTAAGCACTAAGTCCCCAGACAGATGTGTTCAGGTATCTGGAGTATGGGGGTAAGTGGGGAGCAGTAAGAGTGTGTGGGGGACTGATAGGGAAAGAAGAGTCAGGAGTGGGGGTGATGAGAAGATGCGGAGGAGTCTAAGCAATGGTGGGAGGAAATCTCACTTCCGTTCATTAATCACACTTGCTCTTGGGCTGGGAAATGCCCCTGCAGGAGTCTGTATACTGCCTGTGATGGGAGTTAAGAGACCTGTTAAGAGAACATGTTAAGTAATGTAAGAATGAGCTGATGAGGTGGCTTCTTACACCAGACAATAGCAGTACAGATGGGGGAAGGAGGTTAGACTTATTCACTGAATACCTATGAGGTGTGAGGAAATAAAGGGGCCAAAATAACACCTTAGTTTTTGGCTTGGGTAGTGGAGGGTTTGAGCCGCTGTTATTTGAGATTTGATCAGAAGATGTTTGCAGCAGAAAGACCAGAAGCTCTGTCTTACACACCTATTTGAGTCTGAGAGGTCAATTACACAGTAAACTAAGATACCTAGGGGGCATTAGGATATGGGCACAACAGTGCTTTTATACTGCTCAGAAAACCGCAGGAGGTGGTAAAATCGGGGCCACTCATGTTTGAGGGGAAGTTACTATAGAATGTGTCTTTGCAGGTATTTCATACAGCCCCATACAGCCCCACCTGGTAGCTCCCACTGGTTCTCATAACCATTGCAAACATTGTCCTGTATAACAAAGCTGCCTAATATAAATGGCTCACAATGCTTGTCTTCTTAATGAAGCTCCTAAGTCTGCACAGTACAGATTCCCAGACCACATCGCAGGAGATTCTGACTGGGAGTTGAGGTGGGATGAGGTGATTCTTATGCGTGCCCAGGTTTGGGAATTGAGGAAGGACAGACTTCTCTGTTGTGTGAGAATAAAACATAAGTATGAAAGACTTGATGGAGAAGAAAGGAAAATTTTACAAATACGAGATATTAATTCAAGTGTCAAATGTACATACTTTTCTTTTTCCAGTTTTGATAGGATGTATTGTGAGTGAGATTTGTTTAACAGTCTATAGCTACAAACCTGTGAATTCTGTGCTCCCACAAATACATCCTGAGCTGTTCACTTACTCATGTTGTGTAAAGTTTTGATGCTGATAATTAGATAGCTCTATGTTTTTGAAGCTTTAAAACACACAATACATGTACATTACTGGGAATAGTTACCTCCTATAAAGTAACCATGAACACTAGATTAGCAAATACTGAACCGTAGCTCCGAGGGGAAATACAGTTAGATTAGTTTCCTACAAGCCTCCAGCCACAACATTCTCACCAGCCGATCAATACATAATCTTGTTTTATGTGTGTTTCAGATTAAAGACACCTTATTTAATACATATTGTTGATTCATTAACATTGAACTTGTAGCCAACAGCACTGTAACTCAGGCCTAAACAAAGCTCATCTAATCCTTGTGTTTCCTTTATGAGGCATGCTGCATGCAGCCTTCAGCACTCAGGAGCACCACACTAGGTTGCCATCGTAGACAGCAGACTTACAAGGAAAAGCACAGAAATGTAAAATAGTGGCACCTAATAGACCACAAATAGAACATTTATAGTGTTAAACAAGGAGACAGTGTCCCTCCTTTCACCTTTAACTATGCGGTAGGCGATCCAAATGTGTGCAGCTCTGTACAGGCCAGAAGGACTGACTGCAAAAGCATCAGGGTTACCAATAAATTTTAGCAAGTAGAAAAATTCACAAATAATGAAGATCCCAAAGAAACAAATCTATATCTTATGTTTATTATGAATACTAATCCAGTAATTTATAGGCCACTTGTATTTTTATCTAAATAATAGTGAAATTATCAAGTTCATTTTATTGAATGCAGTCTTTTTTTTCTATTAAATATTTGCATCATCATATTACATCACAACTTAATGTACCTTATGGCAGATATATCTTTGATAAACAAATTCTTGGGGAAAAAAGTTGTAGTCACATCTCTCAGCAAACTGAAGTGTGTGTGTGTGATTGTGTACACAGATAAGGAGTGTACTGCTTATCACATTGATGTACGTGCTGATCATCATACGTACACACAGGGAGAGAGAGAGAGAGCTATGTGTGTGTGATTATGTACACAGATAAGGAGTGTACTGCTTATCACATTGATGTACGTGCTGATCATCATACGTACACACAGGGAGAGAGAGAGAGAGCAAGAACAAATTCTCCATTTTAGGATTGTAAGGTAAGGTCAAATGGTTCATAAATTTCAAAAGGAGGGGAGGCAAAAAAACAAGACTAGATCCCTGATTATCTAAATTATAAAGAAAATAAGTAAATGAATGAAAGACTGGAACCATTGGAAACATTCAAAGGTTCAAGGTGTTTTAGTCAGATTATCCGGCAGTATTGATGAAAAAGAGGACACTGAGAAAATTTAAAGCTGCACGAATAGCAAGATATTGAGGGCAGAGGATGATGCCCAGTGTCAGCTGAGAGTCTCCAGAAGCTCTAGACTATGGGAACTTATTCAAACAGAGTGACAACCTCCGAGCGTAACAACCCCAGTGAGAAATACGGGTTACCACTTGGAACTCTCCTTATTAATCTGGTTTTGCAAATGAGGAAACCAGGACTTGGGAAGGTTAAGTGTAGCAGGCTGAGAAGTGTCGGGAGAGAGAGAGCAACGCTGAAACCTTGGGCTCTTTTCCCACAGTCTGAACGTTTTCTCCCGTAGATAGGTTACCTTCTGTCCCCGTCCCATTGCTTATAGCCAACAACATACTGCTAGTTACACAAATCAGGCGTATCAAGTGTAAAAACAAGACAAAATGTTGAATCAGTAACTTGCAAATATGCATCTTATTTGAAAATCTAGTTATTTGCCTAGAATGCATCAAATTATTCCACATGTAGTAAAACACCTCTAAGAATTACAAACTGAAAGATACTGAGAAAAAAGTCTTTATTTTGAGTGAGTATCTCCTAAATTACATGAAAAACTGAAATTTCTTAGTAAACAAAGTATTCTAAATATAATTAAAAAATAATTAGTCTAGAAAAGGTGAATACCAGTGGCTGTCCCTTCAAGATGTACAGACTGTTTTCTTCCACTCTAAATTTATTGCTTTTTCTATAATGAA